GCCATTCTACGCTAATGGGTAATGCTACGAAAAGCACCTAAGTACTACAGCGCCGGAGCCTTTATGGTGAAATATTGTGTAACTTAGGAAGCTGTCTGTTATAAACAGATGTCAGCCACGAGGACTTCCAGCCCTTACTGCCCATCTTCATAGAAGTCAGTTACAAGGTCTCCATTGGTTAAGTGAATTTTTCAATAGTACACAGATCTATTAAGTCGTAGGATTAAAATTCTCTGAGTAAAAATAATTACCCTTCAGAACATAATGTAATATTTAAATGACTTGAAAACAGTCACCTCAGCAAAAATAAGACAGGGAAGAGAGAAAGAAGTTTAAAAATGAAGTTGGAGCCCTGGCCGGGTGGTTCAGCTGGTTGGAGCGTTGTCTCACACACCAAAAAGGCTGCTGGTTTGGTTCTCGGTTGGGGTGTGTACGAGAGGCAACAGATCGATGTTTCTCACATGGATGTTTCTCTCTTTCCTTCTCCCCCTTCCTCTCTCTCCTAAACAAACAAATAAAACAAAACATACCCTTGGGTGAGGATTAAAAAAAAAAGTTTGTAACACTGTCCACAAAACCTCTATGAGTTCAAGTGCACAAATGCGTGATCTGGCACTTCTGATTCATAAACATGTAAAAATGGAAAACCTCCCATTCACAGTAAAATACACAAGTGGTTTCATTAATGAACCAGCGAGTTGTGTGTGTGTGTGTGGGGGGGTGTTGCTTCTTAATTTAATAAAACACCATAATTGTTAAGACAGAGAGAGGGTACTGAAGCCAGATGATGCTTGTTAAAATCCCAACTCTCCCACTTACTCACTCTGTGACCTTGAGCAAGTTGTATTTAACTTCTCGCCTCAGTTTCTTCATCTGTGAAGTGGGGCTGTTAACAGTGCCTCCCTGTGGGCAGCTGTGATGCTTCCATGAGTTAGCACATGCGAGGAAGTTAGTGTCTCACTCATCATAAATGCTAGCTCTCCATCATCTGGTAGTTGTCACAGTATGTCACATTTACTGCAAATGAAAAGGGATCTGAATGGAAACTACGGCCTTTCCTCACGAACTGTGGCCTTTCTATGACTTTTCACTGTTCAGAGAACTCACTGACTCCATCTTCTCCAGACTGGATTCACCCCGCCTCCCCACAGAACCAGCGCTCCAGGTAAGTCACCAGTGACTTTTCTGTCGTTTGCCCAAGCCATCGGGTGGTTTTCGATCCTTGTCTCTCCTGTCCCCTTGGAAAGTCTGAGCACCACTGAGCTTGACACGCTCTTTCCATGGGTTGTATGACTTTTCACTGTCACAGTTTTCCCTCGGTGTCTCCAACCACTCCCTCTCGCCTCCCCTGGCCACTGGATCTTCCTTCTCCTGACCTTTAAATGTTGGAATTAGACTCTCATTGCTCTTCAGCCTCTAGTCTCTCTCCAGGCAAATTCACCCATTTCTGTGGTTTTATTGCCAACATGCTAATTAACCCAAAAATGTTGGTCTACAGCTCAGACCTCTGTTCTGAGCTCCAGACCCATGTATGTTCATTTACATTCTCCATGTTACTGAAATGTCTCAAAAGGTACTTTAAACTCAACATGATTAAAAATAATTTATGATTTCCTCTCTGCCTCAAAGCCAGCATCTCCCTCACTGCTCCCTTGTCTGTGAGTGCCCCACAAAGCATCTCCCCTCTGGACATTGGCAATAGCCTCCACTCCTTTTCTTCATCCCTTTTGCCCTCAATCCATTCTCCAAAGCAGCTAGTGGTGCATTTACATTGCCAATGTGACCACACTGCTCCCGGCTGAATCCTTCACTGGCTCCCTGTGCTTATGGGAACTTGAACATGGCCGAGAAGGAATCCTAAATTCCAGACACCGGGACCACAGTGTAGGAGCAGTACTGATACACAGCACATCTGGCTTCTCCGACCGACCTTTATCCACTTGCACTCCAGCCACACTGGCCTTCCCTGGCCTTTCTGCATCTCTGCAAGCCAAGCTCTTGCATGTCCTCTGCTTGGAACCCTCACCATTGCATCCCTGAGGCTGATTTCCTATTCATCCTCCAACTATCAGTTCAAATGGTGCTTCCTCAGGGAAGCTGTTCTTGACCCAAAACTAGGTCATGTGCCCTATGATAAGGAGGCTGTCATAAAACCGTAAGTGTTTATCACAATTGACATTCTACATTTATTTGTAAAATGAAAACTTAGCTATATTTTCTGTAGAGTTGAAGAGGGCATGTCTGGTTTGGCCCACCGTCGTTCCCCCAGTACCTCCCATGTGAAAAGGGCACACTCACACCTGTTAAATGAATATCACAGTTTCCATCATTTTAAGGCATTTGTTGATGCCCCTGCTCTTACTCCACAACAAAAGGGAACCTTCACTTAAACGCGATGGCCGTGAGTAACCAGTAACTTTGGTGACCTTGGACCACAAGGGGAGAGAAACTCACCAGGACAACTGGGCTCCACAAAGACCAGCCATGGGAACCCAGCATTGAAAGGGCCAGGGCACCGTTTCCATGATTTACGGCCAACAGAATGTTTGTGAGCTGCCAAAATGATACTCACCCTTCCCCTTTGGAGGGTTCTTTCACTCACTCACTCATTAATTTATCCACACAACAAAATCGTGAATTCTAAATTCCAGACACGGGGGCCACAGTGTAGGGGCAATACTGATGCACATCAAATACAGATACACATACAGGAGGCTGCAGCTGAGAGAGCCCGTGCTTGTGTTTGCAGGAGAGGACATGCTTACAGTAAGAGGGGAAGGTGATCCTGGAGAGTGAATGGTGTGCGTGGGGCAGGGGACAGCCAGAAAACAGTCCAGGCAAAATGAGAACACTGACAGGGTCTTCGAGGAGCTGCCTAAATACCAACTACTACCTAAATACCAAATACCAATACCTTAGGCTGACAGGGAAGGAGAGAGGCAAAGTCTCCCTGTGCAGCACTGTTTCCTCCAACTCTGCAGCTCCTCTCATCCCGGACCACTCCTCATGGGCTCTAGGAAGAGGGGAGCTTACAGAGACTCCGCTGTCTGCTAATGAAGGCACCGCCTCCACTCCCCTAAACCTTGCCTATGCATATGAATCAATGATCTGGTTGGTCCAGGCCTTCCCTTTTATCCACACCCGATTCGAGGTGGGCTGTGGCAGTGGTAGATGCACTAGGGGTCAGTGTCCTGGGAACGCAGCAGTGGGGTAAGGGGGACTGAGGCTCTCCTCAGCTCTCTTAAGGAAAAAAACTAATGCTTTAAACTCTTGGCTGCAGTGTTCAGTTTATTCTAGGTACATTTTACATTACTTACACTATATCCTTTTTAAAATATATATATTTTTTTATTGATTTAAGAGAGGAAGGGAGAAGGAAGGAGAGATAGAAACATCAATGATGAGAGAATCATTGATCGGCTGCCTCCTGCACACCCCCTACTGGGGATCAAGCCAGCAACCCAGGCATGTGCCCTCGGCTGGAATTGAACCTGGGACCCTTCAGCTGGAATTGAACCTGGGACCCTTCAGTCCGCAGGCTGACGCTCTATCCACTGAGCCAAGTTGGCCAGGGCTACCCTATATCCTTTTGGTCTGTAAATTACTCAAGCTCCTACTCAAACTTCGAGCTCTGCTTGGAGTATGGAGAAGAAGGGTCACATGACAGATTTCTTCTATATCCTCAGAGAAGATAGGAAAGGGTAGGGGGGTAGTGTTTTAAAGAGCAGCACCCAAGAGGGGCCGGTGTGTTCTGGTACTGTTATTCCATAGATGTAAACACCATAACCAACCAAAGGAAGATGGCCTAAACATTGAATATTTGGACTCAAAGAGGAAAGTACGTTGAAAGAGAAAAACAGGAAAAGTATATCAGCATTTTACACTATCTGTTCTTTAATCTGAAACAAAACTCCAGGACAGAGAAAACATAGATATAAAATAAAATCTGTATTTTTTTAACATATCCTTAAATGCCAGAAAAGAAGCTACCCGCTTTGAAAATGTTTTCTATATAAATCTCTACCAGAAAAACAAAAGTCAGTATTAATTCAACAAATCGAACTTTAATTCATTATTTTGGTCAATTTGAGTTCCAAGATTTACTTATGACATAATGCTTTCCAGGAAGAAAAAAATATTGTCACGGAAAACAATCTGATGGTTAATGTAAAGTTTTAACCAAATAATCATATTACTGTAATTCACTAGAAATTCAAGAAAAAGTGTGTAGGGTGCCCAAAATTTAGAAACATATTAAAATGAAGTTTTTTTTCTTCCTTTATAAGGAAAGAACTTCCATACCATCTGGTCTAAGTTATCTTGGTGTTCTGCCGAATGCAGTGTCAGCTTGCTGAGAACTGTAAATTATTAGGTTACACCCCTAAAAATATGAGTGAAGAGAACAATGGATGAAGAGGACACTGACTATAAGTCTGGACACACAGGAAAACACTAATATGGGACAACAGCCCAGCCCAAGTGCCTGTGGGTATGAAATGGTTCCTGGAGGGCATCCACTCCATATGACCATGACGAAAAGGACAGGTTTACAAGAATAACACGCAAAGTAGTAACATGCAAAGCAATACCGAAGTGCATTTCCAGACTCCGAGACACCGCTTCATCACAGTGCTTCTGATGCTAGTTAAGTTTAGGGGGGAAACAATAAGGCAACCCCGCCCGCCTTAACGTACAGACCATTACAGCTGCTTCTAAACGCCTCCTAACAAACGGGGCCTACAAATGTGAGCACAGCCACGTATGCCACCTCACTCTGTTCTCCTGTCTCCCAGCTAGTCCTGTGAGTACAGTTACAGGACTTCGAAAAGAAGTGAGGTTTCATCAAGAGGCATTTAGGCAACTTGTGTGATTCCCCGCAGAAAAGGTAAACTGCCAGGCACGAAACGACCAGCTCCCTCTGACGACGCAGCCACATGGCTGCTTTCTATCTGGAAACTCTGTCCAGCCAGCTGATAAGATTTGTAAAGGAAGATCCTTACCCGGATTATTTCTTCCACACAGCTGTTGGTTTCTCCAGATCGACTCTCCTGGAAGCAAAGGAAAACACACACAAATTAATAAGCCTGATAGACTAGATTTATGGTCACAAAGAAAAGATGCCACGTTAGCTCCTACATTTAGTAGAGTTTGGACTCGGGGAAATGCCTAAACTGGGACCTACCCATAAGCTCCTTTCCTTAGCGGGACAGCTCCCATCACAGCTATGGCTGCTCTCCCTTCCCCACTGTGCACGGCGCTGGATACCTCCGCCAGGAACACCGCTCACGCGGGGAGGGGAGGTCAGGCTGGGCCCTCAGCCACAAGGACACCGAACGGCAGGCTCCTCGGAGTAACAGTACACAACCTGCAGGGCTGAGCTCTCTTTGCCTTGGGCTCATCCAAATGTAGAAACAGGGCATCTACTGCAAAGCGGATCCAGTTCACCTCCAAATACATACAGTGGCCCTGCCAAATACAAGGTTGCTGCAGCTTAAGTAAAAGTGTGGCAGTTCCGCTGTCCTCAAAGACCAAAGGAGACACATCCTCTCAACATTCGCACGGCATTCTGGGTGTCATGTTCCAGAGCCGCTTGCTCCAGAACCCACACTGCCCTGTGTCATGGAGATGTTAAGGGGTCTGGGAATGGCAGCTTCAGGTCACAGCTGTCTCTGCGGAGCATTTTAAGCTCCAGAGATGCTGTGCGGTGACTACTGGTGACACAGCCTGGAGTGCAGGAGGTGGCTGTGTGGGGAGATGAAAGCAGCACCAGACACAGCAGGTAGAAGTACTGTGGTGTCAGGGAGAGAGTTCTCTTGCCTTTTAATTCAATGATACTGACCACAACTCAGCATGACATCCTAAGCTCTCCTCACCCTGAATGGAGACCCATGCCCAGTAACCAGGAACTCCCCATTCCTTCCTCTCCCCAGCCTCAGGCAACCACTAATCTACTTCCTGTCACTATGAATTTATAAATTCTGGACATTTCATATAAATGCAATCATAAAATATGTGGACGAGCCATTGTTTCTTAGGATTATGCTTTCAAGGCTCATCCATGTTGTACCACGTATCAGTACTTCACTCCTTTTTGTGGCTGAGTCGTACTCCACTGTATGGATAGACCACATTTTGTTCATCCATTCACCAGCTGATGGACATTGTTGTTTCCACTTTGGCTATTGTGATAGCACTTCTATGAACTTTTGTGTACAGTTTTTGTTTGGGTATGTAACTAGCAGTTGACTTGGTGGGACATACGGCAGTCCTATGCTTAGCTTTTTGAGGAACTGTCAAACTGCCTTCCCTAAGGGCTGTCCCATTTCACATTCCCACCAGCAGGTTCTGATTTCTCCATGTCCTCATCAACACTTGCTATTTTCCAGTTTTGTTCTTGGTAGTAGCTAACCTAGTGGGTATGAAATGGTATCACATTGAGGTTTTGATCTGCTTTTCCTAATGATTAATGATGTTGAGCATCTCTTCATGTACATGTTGGCCATTTGTATCTTCTTTGGAAAAATGTCCTTTTCAAATTTTTAAATTGGATTGTCTTTTATTTGTTTTGTTGTAAGAGTTCTTGATATATTCTGGATATTAGACCCTTTATCAGCTATATGATTTGTATATATTTTCTTCCATTCTGTGGCTGTACTTTCTTGATAGTGTTCATCCATGTACAAAATTTTTAACTTTGATGAAGCCCAATTTATCTGTTTTTTTCTTTATTGTTTTATTTTTGGTGTCATATTTAAGAAAATATGGCTAAATCCAAGGTTATACAGGTTTACCAATTTTCTTTGAAGAGTTTTATAGTTTTAGTTTTTATACTTAATCCAATAGTTTGAGAACTTTAGGTAAAATTTATTTCCTTATGGATATTTGATAAGTTTTAGTTAAAACAGAAACATTATCTTAGTATAGATTATTCCATTTTAGTCTCCTTATTAAAAGATCAATAACAAAATGTGTAAGGCACAGCCATTGTTGCTAATGGTGCATGAACACAATATACATGTCTAGCCTTATAAATCAAGAAAAACTATGTTAAATATCATGACAGAATTAGCAATGATACTTCATTACCCTCTCCTACACTCACCCTTTCTTCTGTTCTTCTAAAGGTTACAGTTTGGTGACATACATCTAGTGAGTCCCCACTTCACCCCAAGACTTATTCCAGGACTTCTCTGGAAATGTCACTATTCTGACACTCTGATCACATTGGCTCAGAGAGCTCTTTTTGGAACCTGCCCCAAACCTGCTTCCTTTCCAAGGCAGCCTGAGGAAACCATCACAAATGCTGCTGGTAAATTCTTACTCAGGCAAGGCTTGATGGCCCTTAGAAACGATATTTGGAATTTAGTGGTGGAAATGAAGGTCTCAATTAAAAAATGTTTCTTCAAACCCATAACCATTTCTCTTACTCCCAAGTCTCAACCCTTTCCTACCATGTAACATACGGGTAGAGCAAATGCTAAATTCTCACTGTACTATTCTCCACCCTAAAACAATTAATCAAGGAAAACTTCTCCTGGTGGACTCACCCAGACACACAGTACACTGAAAAGACTCATCAAATTAAACTCTGGGTTTGATCACTTAAAGCTAAGCTTCTTCTGAAAGTAGATTTATATACATGACAAATTGCTCTTATAAGTAGCTCTCCCTATAGTCCTGTAAGTTTCCATGACCCTACTCTGAAAAGGGAGGGAAATGCAGTATAGATGCCCCAGAGATAGGGTATGTAGGATTAATACATTGCATCATCTCAGTGAGCTCCAACCGTGAGCTCTGATGGTCTAATGACATCAGGTCTTCTGTACTAAGAGGGCCCCTTGCAAAGTTGAGGAAGTGAGACCAGACCCAAGGACTTCTAAGAACAGTCTCAGGCCATCCTGGTCTTACATTCCCGTGTGGAAAGTCCTCAGCAGGGGAAACTCTTGGGCATTCTCTGAAGCATTTCTGACTCCTGGGACACCTGGTGTTACAACAGGGGGGACCTAAGACGGGTAGTGCATTGGGTTTTAATCTCTAGGATTCTGTCTGGAATGGAGTGAATGCATGAGGCCTATGGTATTAAGGAAAGTTTGAATTAAAAGGAAACCTAGAACTCATTTCAGGCTACTCAATGACTTCAGCAGATGGGGAAACTGTGGCCCAGAGAAGTGGAGGACTTTGTTTAAAATCATTCCGGTGGCAAGGGGCAGGCAAGGTAGAACCCACACACATTTCTTCAACACCAGTTCAACCCTTAGAACTGCCTCAACTTGAGGTCACTGTCATGTTTAAAGTATGAAACTAAAAGGACCTGGACAGTATTGGGGTAAATTTCCTCCTTCCTTTCCATGCTGCAAATTCTCCAGCACTCGGTCACTCTGTCTCTTCCTCACTAACTTCTGACATCACATGCATAGGCCAAAGCAGGAAGTGACAGGAGAGGAAGTGGAGAGAAACGGTTAAAACTACTATCCCTTCTCTGACATTAACAAATGAGACAGGACTTGTGTGCCCTGAAACTGGAGGACAGAATTCCGCCTCTTCTCTCCCAAACACACAAAAGGGGGTTGGTGGGGAGGGCGGCGTTGGCAGGGCGTTGGGGTGAGGGGAGACCAGAGGGCCTTTTACCTACTTGAGATCTTTCTCAAATCTGGTTTCAGTTGCAGTTGTGTACTCTGATTATAATTACATTTAAAAACTTCCAGTGTTTATAAACAAGATTCAAGCATGCATGTAATTTACATCTCCAAATCTGAGTTTGTTTTTTTCACAGTGAAGTTACTGCTTTCCTTGGAAAGGTACCCACTGAGAAGGAAGGCTGCACAATGCAAATTTTAATTACTCTGGAGTTTTTGAGGGTTTGTAGCTGTTGCCTCCTGCTGAGTTGCTGAGCTGTTGTTCTTATTTACTCTGATTTTGATGAACCCACTCCATTTCGCTATCATTACATTTTGAAATCTGTCATAACAGTCTCACCTCATTGAATCTCCAAGTAAACTTCAATTAAAAGCGAGCAACCCCAGCTGATTCTCCTCCACAGCCTTGTTTGTCACGTCCCCTTTTCACGGAACTGCTTTCCCCAAATCCTACCACTTAAGAGTGCACTCCACACACCCTGCCAGGGAAATGCAAGGAGCTAAGTACAGCAGGTCCTCTAATAATGTTGTTTCACCCGTCAATTTGTCACACTATCGATGAGATGCCATAGAAACTTAACTCTTGTTTACATCAATTAGTCTACGGTAAAATTCCACTATACATCAGCTCCTCTTAAAGTCACAAAACCTACTGACCACTAAGAGGGGACTTGCTGTATAGCTCAAGAAACAGCCAGGAGCATTCTGTCAGTGAGAGCAGAAGTCCCTCATTACCATGCCAAGCACAGAGCCCTGGAAGAAGCAAGCAAGGCTTAAGGAGAAAATACTTGATCAAATCAGTGGGAAATGGCATTTCACTGCAGAGGCGATGAAGCCTATTTTAAAAAATAGCTTAACTCTTCATCGGACACATTTAACGCAGAACTTTCATTCTAAAATAATACTACTTTAAAGTCACAGTGCCTTTGTCTGCAAGCTCTCAAAAGGCCCTCAAGCATTTAGAAATTATTTTATCATATGCACACTCTTAAATACTTCACCAGAAGTATTTTAAAATAAATCTTACTATTCTGGATTTACAGAACACCTCAGATACAAAGAAATTAAGTGTGCCATCAATGCCTCCAAAACAGTGGGTGAGGGTCTGAACTCAAATTCGGGGATCATTGTAATTCTGTATGAAGGCCGTCCAATCAATGACTGTGCCCCCAGCCTCACCTGAAGCCAGGGTTACCTGTGGACAGGAAGGCAGTCAGCCAGTTCTCTTCCAAATTCCGCCTGTCTTACACCAACCTAACACCTCCCCTTCCAAGGCCTACATTCTGTTCCCTATCACCCAAGCCACAAGCCCGGCTTCATCCCTCATCAGTCTCCTCCTTATCTCCTGAATCTTGCTTTACCCGCCATTCACATCCATCTCTTCCTCCACGATACTACTGTCACCCTATCTC